AACAAAAATTCTTTTATATATTATTTTAATTAATCATATTTTTGGATAATCATAAAGCGGTTTTGAGTACTGTCATCAACATCAACCCATCAACAGTGGTCTTCTTGTACGAGGAATCGAACTCGTGCCCTGCCAAATTTGAAGCTCAGAGTCAGCGTTCATTAACTGACCCAAAGCTGTATTTGATTTGAATTTTCGTGTTTTTTTCTGGAGTTATTAATTTGCTGCGAAAGTTTTTATTAATAAATCTACTTGCTGTGCTGTTGAGTTAATTAATTTTATTCTTATTTTTAATTGTTGAATTGTAAAACTCTTCTGTTTGTGGAGGCATTATTTGTAGCATGTTTTCTTGTGTATACAACCAAATCTAGAAACGAGTTTCCGAGAAAGTCATGCTTATATTACTCCACGATTCGCACGTGCGAGACCATGTATTTTATTGTTGTAAGTTGTAATTTAACGTCATTTTGCGATTGGAGTTTTTGAGACTTTGACCCATATTATGCGTCACCTCAAGAGCTTTGACTTTATTATGACATCACACTGAATACTGAACATATGGATTTCCATTCTTAAATGCATAAAACTAATTGACTGTAATTTTTCTTTATCTATTATACCAATAACGTATAATGCTGAATTGGTCAGGAAACTTATATCCACAACACTTATATCCAAAAAACTACATTGATTAATGTAGTTATCATTAATAATATTTTATACCATTTAGTTTTTATATAAGAATGAAAATGTATAGGTCTTATTATTTTATCACTTTTTTTATTTAATTTTTATTATTTAAAATTTGACTCTCTTTTTGAAGTCTTCAATACCCTTAAGTAGTGACTACAGTCTTCAGTGGCCTGAAGATGACTACAGTCTTAAGTACCTTGAATATAACTACAGTCTTGAGTACGCTAAAAAGAACTATAACGAAATATGAGTGTTAAAAAAACATATTTTTTTAAACTAATTCATAAAGTTGTGTTTTGCTTTATATTGATTTATTATCCCGTTCAAAATAATATTAGTAACTTTTGATATGTCCACTATTGGACACATCCAAAAAAAGCATTACAAGCTACCTGAAAATGAGTCTATGGTATTTTAGCCCATACCCAATAAATGGTTGTTTGAGATAATCTAACTATGTCCTTCAAAATATTTCAGTCATCTAAATCATTCTAATTTGAATATCATTTGTGGAATGTTATTTTTTAACTATTCAAGATTGAGAGCGCTTTAGGAGACGGTTTTGAGTCTTGTTGTAATATATGGTATACTGTCTCCGTCCTAAATATTTATTTATCCAAGGCTGCATTATTACTTCTCTAAGGCAGTTTCACAGTGTATGGTTGCATAAATTCTTACCTCATGATTCGAAAATAATTCTACTCCGCCAATGCTTTCTATTTTTCCATTTTAGCTAAATATATCTTACAGATTTATGTAGTCTTCCATGCAGCTTGGCTCCGCTGCACTAAATTAAATTCGCCAGAAATTAATCTTCTGCAATTCTTTTATTTAATTTTTGTTTTTTATACGAAACAGTATTTATTATCCTTTATCATACAATTGGTGTCTTCATTGAAGTCACAGTGCTATCACCCCTTTCGAGCTTTTTGAATAACTGATTAGCTTGTCTTTGTACAAGAATTCTTTCTATATGTGCTTAGGTGCCGTAAGTAGGGTATTTGATTATTATTATTTTTGAAAGTTGCTTTACTGATTTCATGCGATTTTCGAAATGGGTTTCAAATACTTTTGAGCGGTTTACGTGAATTATTTGGAGCTCATAAATTATCATATTTTGCGTTAACAAAACAAAATTACTTGAATTTAAATTTGATATTTGTAATATTCAAAAAAAAAAAAAGAGTAGCTATCAGGTAGCGAAAGAAAGGGAGTACAAATATGCTGCACTTCATCGAATTTGGTATATATATATATATCCGAAACGTGTTTTAAATCCATATTATTTGCATGACTGCTATGACACCCATTATAAGAATGCGTATCCTATTGATAAAAGTGAAGATAAATACGAAGAAATAATTTTTGCACAACGAGATACAAATTTGCTGAATATAAGTAACACACAAATCGAAGAAAATAACAAAAATTGAATGAGCAATTGAAAATATATCTTTGATTCAACAAAATCCGATTCAATGCAATAACAAAACCAACCCAATTGAAACCAAAGCATTTCGAATGATAACCTTGCTTCCACAATTGTCATGTATTCCAACAATTGTAGTCATATTTCTGGATCAATTTCATGTGCTTGTGTATCTGCATCCTTAGTGTGAAAATCTTTGTATCTTTGTGCGGAGCATATGCGTGTGTGTTGACATATTTCATGCTTCGCACACATGTTATTAATCTCCTTTAAGTCCTCAAAATCTTTTGAAGACAAACACACTTGCCTTACGAGACTATGATGTTTGCTGTGGAAGAAATCAAACAATTTTCATCACAACTCAACGACAAATAAATCACTTTGAAATTTAGCAAGAACGCAAATATTTGTGAAAATTAGTAAAGAAGATTGCTGGTCCCATTCCCATTCCCAATCCCTAAGCATGCACAGATACTTTTCACCACATATTTGTTTTCATCTGCGTTTAACGTCACGAGAATTGCGCGACGTATTTGCATGAATTTATGCCTTACGCGATGCGGTGCCAATATGTCAAAGTAATTTACAAAATTGAATTTTTTCCTAATTTCAAATGCTTGTTTTTTTATCTTTTTCATCTTTTTTCGCAGCAAAACTTTTAATTTATTTAAACGGTTTTATGTAACTAAGTTTAAAAAATGATATTACATAAAGTTTCGGAGTTAACTGAGAACCAATAATTGAGTCAGTGCATTTGAGCACTTTTACTCTCTATCAACTCGGGGTATCTTCGAAACCCCTCTTCACGCCTTGACTGGATTATTGTTTATCACTACATCAGACTAAGTAATAATTGACCTCAGTTCTGCATAACATACCTCCCCGAAAAGCCTGTGACTATGCTGAGATTCGATAACGCTTTGTTGGTAAGTCTTTCAGTTTTCGTAAATAATATACAGAGATGAGTGGCTTTTTAGTCACTTGATTTCTAAACCGAAAATATCAACAAGATTATGAATAGCGGTTTAAGATTAAAGAGTCGGGAAGCTGGTCTAAATTCTAATATAAAGTCAATAAAAATAAGTATTTACAATAATTAATTGAAAATATATGTCTACCTTAAATAATATGAGATCTCTGATAATTAATAGATCACTTTTTTTTGTTAGAAAGTTATTTTTTATTTAAAATAATTTAAAAAATTTTCTTAGCTTAAAAAAAAACTTAGTAACTGTTAGGTCAGTGAGACCATTTCTTAGGTTTTACGGGTAGACAGCTCCCCAAGCAATATACGACATGGTTATAATTTTGAAAAGCTGTATTTAACTAAAGATTTAGAAAGTTTCTTAGTAAATCTTTAATTTAGCTAAAATATTTTACCTTTTTCAATCAGAAAATATTTATTTTCTCTAAAGACAATTATCTATAAGAACAATATCAATATTTTATTTAGCGTCATTGAAACTTTTTATTAAACGTCTATTATGTTTTGACATTTTCATTTTGCACCATCCTATATTCCTAACAAATTTGCAATGTCTTTCTATTTCCCATTCAGCCTTTCATCGAGTCACTATATTGCTTATTATTGTCTAGTACTATATACAATATTTTGTTTACATGAATTATTTCATTTGTCCAGCTGACGACAGTACATATTGAAATTACTCGATTTTTTGTCCAATAGAATCTAAAAAAAAACAAAAATGATTAATTTAAAGTCCCACCACTTGGTGGACTTAAAGGGAAGGAGACAACTGACAGTTTAGTCCGCTCTGGTGCTACACTAGAGACCATTAAGAGAAATATCTACTTCTACTTTCTTCAACTTGTCAATAATAGATGCAAAGCACTTAAGTCATGTGTAACTTCCTGGTTAACATGGCCCACCTATAATAAAATTAGATCCTCGGAACTCATCAAAACAAACTGCATGAACAATGCAAGGCTCACTGAAGTTCTTTCTGGTGATTAGTGTTTATGGAAACACGCGAAAAAACTGCACAATCCTCACAATTCCCACTGCGAAGGGTGTGGAAACCTGCAGGAAAAAGAAACTATAAAATAGAAGATTATAAGTTTTTAGTACCGTACTTTTTTGACAGTTTATTAGACAGAAAGTTCATTGGTAAAGACAAAAGACCTTTTAAATTATCTAAATTCGATTGGATGGATATAGTCTCTACTCTTCTATACTAGGTGTTCTTGCGAGTAGTATGGTAGCAAAACATGGTACATGGGAGTTATATAATGGACTGCCAAGGCAACCAACCAACCAACCAACTAACCCACCATTTGGTGATAAAGTCCTACCACACTTTTGTGTTCTTATTCTATGATATTTTGTTTTTAACGTTGTTGTAAATAATCCATTTCTCGTCAAAAATAAATATTTTTCGTTATTAAGTACATGAAAAATATTAACTTGACAGCATAAATATATTTTCGTAAGAATATATGGGCTCTATATGCCGAATTCTATAAATTTAATCTTTGACGAGTGGTTATCCGCCGGTATATGTACATTCAATAATACCTTTAATGTGTCCAACAGCTTTAGCTGGCAAGTGTAAAGAAAGAAAGAATGTATGGCAAGGTACGCACATGGTAAAGGAGCTAAAAACTGATAAGGACATAATAGGTTCAGTTATGAAAGCAAACAGTAAGTTAGGGAAATTTACAATCTTGATTATGAACTTGCTATGTCAATTAGTTACATTGGCAGGGTACTTATCTGGGAACTGTTTCAAATCTATTCTCGTAATAAGTAATAGTTTTGCATTCAAATCGATAAGAACTTGCATAAATACTGTTTTGAAAAATAACTATAAAGTTAAAAAATGTATCACTGTTTATTATAATATTTTACAAAAAAAAAAACAATGATAATTCTATCAGTTAATCTAAAAATATATCTTGCTTCCACATTACAATTAATGAAGCAGAGTTGTTTTATGTGTTCTACTGAAGAATTTTGCGTTTTTGACAACGGATACTACCATTCACCTATTTTCTTTTTTTAGCAGCGGAGAAATCAGCTTGTCGACATTGATCGCAACACAAGAAAGGACCATTATCCATATCACTTTGATCCGATGAATCATCTGAACCTTCTGCAGTTTCTGAGTAATAAGAGGAAGAAGTGTCATCAGTGTTTTCTGTAGCTTCTGAGTCCCCCGAGATTTCAGTAGTACATTCTGTAGCTACAGAGTTACCTAAATTTTCATCAGAACCATGTTCAGTAACCACATTTGCTGATTCAAGTCCAATTTTGTTAGAAATTTGCTCAATTGGGATAAGTTTATAAGTTCCTCGTGGAAGTGGTATCGTCATGGTTAACAGGTAATAATAAGTTCCATCGAAATGCGTACCTTCCGGTATAATACGTTGCAATGAACAAATTTTTAGTTCACGATGCGAATCATCCCGGATGATGCCATTAGTGCCTGTTTGAACAACACAAGAAGCAAGATCCTTGACTAGTTTCACCAACTCATCAGACTTCTTTGGATCGGTACCATCAACCTTCGATTTTTCTGGAAAGTTATTCATTGCTGAATTAGTATGACAAGTACACTTGTTAGTGTTCAGAATTTGATTTTTGTACAGATTTATATAAGATTGAAAAAAAGAACAAAAATATTTTAAAATACCTTTACCTCCTTCAGCTCCTTCACCTGCACGTTTTACTGCGTTTTCATCTTTTCTTGGTTCTTTCTGATTACACTTTTTACTGCGACCCATGATTTCTTTCTGCTAAAATCCGAAACAAAAAAAAATTGTAATCAAAATATATGAAATTTATTTAAGTAACAAAGATATTTCATGTTTTGACTGGCCTACTACTTTGTATATAAAATCTTAAACGTTAATTTCCATTTTGAAATTTAAATTACATATTAAGAATCCTCATAATATATAATCGGTTAGTATGTGTAATTGATTTCTTCCCGTACTAATCTATTTTTTAGTTTTTATTATTAGATGATGCAATCATTTTCTTTTGATGGTGGATAAATATATGACTTTGTTTCGTTTAATAGTAGTATGGACAATTTCTCCATCCCGTTTGCATCTTAGCAATATTTCATCATTTGAGTTATTGGCCGAAAATGTAGTTTTTGGAAAGCTGCTTGTGTTGTTTCACGCACTGATGGGATGTGGAGATCGCGCTGTAAAGTACTATTTTTGTATTACTAATAAAAATATTGGTTTATATAAACACAAAAACCTTTCCGAAATTTTCAATGATAAATAAGCCAGATGCACATAACTCAATTTCTTTAGACTGATGAGCAATTTCAATGTTGCTGTTTTCTGTTCACTTATCAACTTAATAAAACATATATTTATAAATATATTTCTCTATTGAATTTTATGAGAAAGTCTTTAGACTACTTGGTCTAGAAGGCTGTGACTGGTGGAAAATTTATTTTCTCGATTGTAAGTCAATATCTTAATCACTGATCTATAAGAGTGCACTATATATTCTATACTAAAGTAATCCCTAAATAGTTTAATTAGTATAGAAAAACAGAATTTTGTGTTATTTCGTTGGAATGGTTCTTTTTTTGGAGAGGGATAGACATATGTAATAGGCGGTCTGTTGTAATATACATAGTATATAGTGCACGATTTTTAAAAGTAACTAAAGAATTGCTGAGAATTTAAATAAAATAATTAATAATAAAAAAACAATAGAAGTCTTAGTTTAAATAAATATGGAAGATCTCTCTGAAACTTTTAGTGGATAATAGGTCATATCAGTTTGCTTAAAAATGCAAAAATGATGTTTAAATTGTGTAAATGAAACTCTAAAAATCTAAAAGTCTTAATGCGTTTAAATCCCACTGAGGACATCAGTGAAGCTTTAAATATTCCGAATTACTCAAAGTCAAATATAATAAATTGCATACACCGATAAAAATTAAACGCACTGATAAAAAGTTTCGCACTTTTTCCGGCGTTTATTTAGTGGAACGTAAAAGGAATATCAGTATTCGGGCTTACATGGGAGCGTTTTTTTTGAGTATGGGTAAAAGTGCGAGTAAAAATAAATGTTGTAGCAAGTTCGTAAATACAAACAACAACAGCAATAACAGCAACAACAGCAACAACAATAAGAAAATAATAAGACAAACATAACAGAGAGAAAGAAGCAAAACAACATGGCAACATTGTTGACATTGTGATGAAAGTACGCCCAGCTACCTGCCTTGCCAACCGTCTTCACCACAAGCCATTGCATACTTAGTTATTCACTCAAGTCGTTGCCAACTGATAACGTATAATGGATGCTTCGCTTTGGGCCACAGAGTTTCACTTGTCTTAAGAGACGCACAGAGGCGATGAAGACATTAAAATTTTAATGTTCAACATAAATCAACACCAAGAAACTTACAACAACGATGCGAACGCCTGCATAAACAAATGAATGCTTTCATATATCTTACACAGAAGTGTACACACACACACACACACACACACATATATATATATATCAGCGCACAACAGCATTCCCAGTTGACAATACAAAAGTCCCATTGCAGGCGGGCTCATTAAAATATGCGAGTGAATATGCGAGCAGCTTAGTACAAAAACAATAAAACCAAAATAATAAGTGAGATTCACACAAAGCCTCCCGCGTACCTACCAACAAAGTTTGCATTATAATAATACAATTGAAAGTATGAGTGACTGAATGTGTGCATGTGTGCATGCAAAGCAAGTGAAAATAGGAATAAACAAAAACAAAAACAAAAACTCCTGCAATACTCAAAAGCCACATCAACTTAGAATGCTCATTGGCAACCCATATAAAGCAGTAGTAAAAAAAAAAATAGGGTGAGGAAAAGAAAATAAGATAAAAAACTACTTTAAATTGCAGGCAGAACTGAACGACTTAAATAAAACGAACACACTGCGCCCTCTTCATTTTCGTCATATTGGCAAAGCCAAAACAAAAGCACAGAGACAGAAATTCGTAATCTGATGGGCGTAGATGTGAGTGTGTATGTGTAGGGAATTGCTAAAAACGTCTATGCACACTATTTACCAACAGCGACATACAAACACTCTACACTTATAAACTTTTCAGGCAATTAAATATGAGTTCGTCGGAGTTGTTAAAGTTCATGTTTAGGGAAAATATAATTACTTTTATAGAGCGGTGAGAATTTCTTAATTGCTCTGGGAAAAACGGGAGGCAAGAAGCTAACAAATTAAAATCTTTAAAATTTTACGAAAATATTTTAAATGTTAAAAGCAATAAAATCAACTACTTAACTTTGTGCTATTATGCAACATAGTCGACTATATATCATTAAGGATTAACAAAAAGAACGAAAAGGCAGTATATAAGATTACTCAAAATTGATTGGTATCTATTGAATACTTGCATTTCAGTATAATAACATTTTGCAAGCATATGACAAAAGAGTTTAACGAAACTTTAGTAAACGAAAAAGCTAATTATCCTTTACCAAAACGTACAAGGTTCTTTTCAAATTATATCTATTAAAAAATGCAGATCTGAGGTCAATTATTGCACAGTCTGATGAAGTGATAAACAATAATCTAGTCAAGGCGTGAAGAAGGGTTTCGAAGATACCCCGAGTTAATAGAGAGTAAAAGTGCTCAAGTGTACTGGTTCAAATAGCTTCAACATAACAATAATAATAATAATAATAGAAAGTTATCTTAATATATAAAAAACTAAACTAATAACCTATTTTGTGTCGGCAAGTCTTGAGTAATGAACAAAAACTTATGTGCTCTTTTTTATAAAGGAACGGTTTCGTTTCATTCGCTTATTGCAGTACCTGCTGCTTTAAGAACGTTATTAGAAGTATTTGCAATCATTACCTAAGATTTGAGCTCCGCAATCTCATGAATTTTCTTATACCGTTCAAAATATTTCTGATCTTCCTGTCTGTTGATCCTTTTTTTCGAGTCAGCGCAACTGGGCACTTTTACTCTTTGATAGCTGGGGGTACTACAGGGTCCCACCCATCTCATTGACTAATTTATGTATTGCCTATAAGCTTCCTAAGGTGACAAAATTTTTATGGCTTTAAAATAAGATATCCAAAGCACAGTTCTTTTGCTTACCAACGAATTTCGATTTGCACCTCTACACTCGTAATAAACAGATTTTGTATCTTAAAAAGCAAAACTGTCCCGCTAAAATCGGAATTGCGCTGATCCAGAGAACTAATCACAGTTTTAATTCGAAGATTATAAGTCGCCGTCACCACCGAGGTGCTTTCTTTTAAGACCGAAGTACAGTACTTCTGCGTATTTCAAAAAACACTGCAAAATTTTCTAATAATGAAATGGTTTTGCGAAATATACTTTCCAGACAACTATACAGAAAGTTTTAAACCGGAAGAGCTTCATTTAAAATCGGATGGTCAAGATAATTTGATTAAAATTATCTATTTGACAGCATCACTTCAACCATATGCTTCTATTTTTTCTATATGTTTTTGTATAACAAATGTTTTACAAAAATTCCAAAAAATACTGTCAATTCATTTTTTTGGGTAAAGTGGAATACTTTATTATGGACCATTAAATCGGTATGCCCGATTTCCAGACAATCTAATATAGTATACAGACTAAAACACTTCCTCTTCGGAGAGGCAGCTCTATCTTTACTATTAGGAATCATGTACGTTATCATACATTATATATATATATATATGTACTACTACGTGCTCTACATATTACATTATACTGTAGGAGTTATTGATTCTAATATCAGAATATGGCTCAGCACTATTGAGACTATGAAATGTCTACTTTTAATTCTGTCTCGATTTTTGAAGTTCATATAAATCATTGTTTACTTGAAAATTCTTCTCGAAACTTCTGGTGGGTTATCTATAGTAACTTGAAAGTCAAAACCACTAAAGCTTAGATAAGTTTATTTAACGGTGTTATGATTTCAACAAATTGTATCTGTCGGTTGTAAAAAAGGTGTTGTAATTGTCTGTAGAATATTCGTTTATTATTAAAAATTTCTCAATATTTTCAATATTTTTTTCTACACTTACCAAAACTTTTTGGTCTTCAGAGAAACCTTTTTTTTCGGTAGAGTGTGGAGTAGTATTAAAAATCTTTTAAGATCACAATGTAAGCTCCACAATCACACGACCGCATTCACATCAGACAGAGAATATAATTATTCTATTCTTCGTATTCATTCCCCTTCTGCTACCGAATCATGAATCATAGATAAACTGTTTATAGTGCTTTGAAGAGACCGACATTATAGCACCGTTGTATAGTTTGTCAGGTTAATAAAAATGTGTTGTTTTTTGATTTTAAAAAAATTTAAGTTTTTAAATATTTTCTATTTTCTATTTTTATGACATTAAATACCTAACGAAGTTTATCTGTTTCCATTTGGTAAAAAAATGATTTCGAGCAATTTTTTAAGTGGTCATATTTATGTATTTATGTATCTTTAAAGTACATACTTATAGACATTCGTATACGTATGTCTCTATACGCGGGTTTTAATATTATTTTTCTAAAACAAAAGAATTTTGTTACAGAATTTCTCTGAATTTCGCATTTCGTAAGTTGCACTGTCAGCAAAGAGCATCTGTGTAACGTGTAATTAAAAGGGCGTGAATTATTATTATTGTGATTATGCTGGAAAATAAGTTTCAAAAGAAGCTGTCATTCCTGTGCATAGTGGCATACTACATAGTACGACTACAATAGTGGAGCAGTTTTGGAAGCAACTAAACCGAGAGGAACTCGACTTCACTTGACTCGTAATAGTTCCATGCTCAGCTTAGCTTAGCGTAGTGGAGCCACACAACTTGACACTACGACCTGGAACATTAACAGTGTTAAAAGAGGGAACTGGTAATGAAAATGGCATTTGCATAAAAAGTATTATCGCAAAAAATAGTACATACCTAGAATACATGGGCGCAAAAATGGTCGTGAAGAGTTGCAAAATTAAGTAAATACAAGAATGCATATATAAAAAATATTATCTCTCGTTAGGTTTTACTACTCTACTGCACTTGTTGTAACTATTTCTGGTTGCATTTTTAAGCATTATTTTGTGTCCTATCCCATCTTTATATATTATATTTAAGTGCAATTTTTTAAAACATTTTATTTCATCCGAGTACCATATAAACAGATACTCTTGGTAGTACTAAAGTATATGCTTACATATATATATATATATATAATGTACTTACAATTTGATGTTTTAATTTTTATTTATTTTTAATATTTTTTTTTTGTTTTATTTATAAAAGTACAGTTTTCCTATTTTATGTGCTTAACTCTTGGTTTCCGTGGAATTATTTTAACAATTAATTTTCATTGTCCTAGGTTCAAAAGTTTGTTTGTTTTACTTTAATGGTACGCGAACACATTGACAAATAGTCCCATGACGTAGCCACAAGCCAACTGCTGCATGCGTTCCAAGGAACGCAAGGACTCACCAACGAATGAACGTTAACTCATCCTTTACTAACTGCAAGAGTTCGTATCGTTTGTTTGGCTTTGCACTTAAAGGCGAAATTAATTTGTACTCAGATGCACTAGGCCGAGAACCAATTAAATGCCTCATTGTATTGTATGTCCTGACATGATAAATACGTTTCCAGTTTAATTCAATTTTACTACATTTATTTGACAAATGAGCCATCATTCATTTTGCTATTGCTTCCATCGTGGAAAGAATTTCACATTAAAAGTTAATTACATTAGCCTTTTGACCGAAACTTCACTAAACCACAACGAATTTTTGCTTGAATAAATCGCTAAAAATAAAGAACTGTCAATGACCTCACTTTTGATAATGGATTGGACCATACACGATTCTGAACGAAATTTAATAATATAATTTTTAACAAATATTGATTTAATTAATATATATAAATAGTATGATGTGCTCGTATTTGAGTCAGTTCTAAGAATCAAATTTTTTAACCTTGATAGCTTTTGTTGATAGGATTTCATATAATAATATAGTAATCATTTGGTTGTTTAACTACATTTGCTGAATTACATAAAACGTTTTGAATTTCTGTTGTACTAGGTTAGGTTGAAGTCTCGGCCCTATGCACCAAAAGCCCATTTGAGCACAAATAGGATTTCCCATTGTGATTCGCTGCACTTCTTATAAATGTGTGTCCAACTTCAAGCAACCAATCTATTACCTCAAAGTCTGTAGATTTTTTATATATAAAATATTTCAAAGACTGTGGTCTGATCACATCACGGACAAAAGCAGTTCTTAAAATCAAAGTATTATTTCATTTATAGAACATTTATAGAAGAACAAAACATTATTCTTAAATACTATATAATTCAATAGATTTTTTAATATTTGTTATTTAAGAATTGATTAATTTTTCGTTTTTGGTGATGTAGAATTATAGCAATTATAACGTATAATACTAAGGATAACATATCCAACTTCAGGCGCCTTTTGCAAAGAATATAAATCTGCACACTTTAAAAAAAAAATATGATATATATATTTGTACCATTTTCATATTACTGAAAATTGACTGCGTGTATCAAACAGAAGTCTACGGATACCGCTTTGAATTTGAATGTGCTAATTGCACTTTGACTTACGATGAATAAGACTTATATTTAAAACTTATTAAGAGTTGTAAGATGGAAAAAAAATTCATTAAAAATAATAAAATACAACATTTAGTATTTAAATCATTTCAAATAAATATTGAAATGAATATTTATTTGTTGTATTTTCAAGCAAATATGAAAGGACGCAATAATAATTTATATATTATATATGAACATTATTTTAATACATAAATTTTAAAATATTAATATTTGTTTCTAAACTAAAATCTTATTTTATTAATAAAGTATATATACAGACTATATAAGTAGTTTTTTAAAATATTTGTGACACAGGAAAGGAATAATATACGCAACTTGAGATTCAATAATCAATAAGAATATCAGTAAAAAGTTTTCATTATTCGTTATATATCATAAGCTGCTATTAGGTGTGCTATTGTCTTGTCACCTTTAATCCAAAACACATATCGTTCCAACGTAAATGATTCTAGTATAAAATCTAGTTTCCAACTTCTTTTGAGTGATTACTTCAACTCTATTAATGTCTCATGATGTACGATACAACGTTTATCTACTTATATTTAAAAATATCTAATCCCTAAATATCTATAAAATTGAATTTATAAAATACAAGTCTTAAATTAAAGAAAATGAAACAATTGTATATACTCATTCTCAAAATAAAATATTTTAATGTAAAATTTTCTTCATATATTTCATATTACAGAACTACCAAATAAATTGAAATTTCCAAATGATAACATTCATGTTCCTTCTTGTTCAATGGATTCAGTCTTCTTGAAATTTTTATAGACGCTATATATGACAGAGGTGCACATCCCAAAAACTCCACCTTGAACACATTTCTTGATACCAGCTGTTGACTTGTATAGTAGTCCAGTAGCTGTACCTGATATTAAGTTAATGAGGACATCATCGCAATCAGGGCGAATGTTTTCGATTAATAAATAAACACCACTATATATCAACCCTATCACACCCATTGTGTTTGATTGTACGAAACCTTCCTTTAATACATGATTTAGGATTATTGTTGTCTTAATTTTGGAAGTATAGTTATTTTTGTTAATTTTGCGGATGCCCTTATACAAACCAGTCAAACCACCAACTGCACCACCCATTAGATAGGTGCTGCCTATTAAGAAGTTTAATGAATGTTCTATCTGTTTTATTTGTGGAGTAGGGATTACTTCGAATTCCTGCCTTTCTTCCTTTATAATACTAGCATCAGGCCATTTAGCGCTTATTTTCATAGGTATATCTGCCAATGATGGTGGATTACTTGCTTTATGGCGTTGTATATCATCCAAATTTAATTGAGTTTTTCCGAAAAAATGATCCATGAACTCTTTTGCCATAATGTGTTTTTTATTTTGATTTGAATAAATATAATAATTATGTGGTATAATACGCTCTTCGGAAAAATACTATAAACACAATAAATATTTACTAAGAGATTTATAACTATACTTAATGTCAAGTTTTTGAAAAGTTAATGGCTACTGCGATAATTGCAATATTTATTGGTCTATATAAAAAAATTTGTTTGTTTTGTAAGTTGGCCGGTAGAATTAAGTTCTATACTAAATGCGTTGCCATAGTTGGGAAAAGAGATAATCAATTTAGTCACATATTCATTTATAGCAGAACATTAAGGGGGCTTGGATTTTAGATACCTATTGGATTTTATTTACAAAGTTGAACTCAACAAATTACTTACGTACTGCGTTATCGGACTGGTTGAGTTGAATCACAATTGTGGGAAAGAAATACATTTAAACGTAAAATCAAAAAATATCTTTAGTTAAATCAATGGAAATGCTCAAGTTGATCTTCTGAATCGAATTGAACTTCATGTCGCGATGTATAAAACATTATAAATAAAACTGATAAGAATATAAATATGAAAGTTACATTTGCGGTTTAAATGGTTTAGAAATACAAGGCTCCATTAAAACGAACACGCAGAATCGGTGGAATAGTATGAAAAACTACATTTTTATAAAAATCTTCATTTTTATCATCCTTAGAAAAAATATTCGTTACTTAATATGTTATAGGAGTAAATCTAATTGTTTGAAAATAACTAACAAATAATCTCTACAGATGAAAAAACACTACGTAAATACTCCATCGAATACTCTTCCAATACTATAATTACTGGGCACAGTATTAAATTATTAGGCGAGGTGTTAATGTTATCTGTTACCTGATATGTACACTAAAGCAAGAGCAAAAACATAGAAATATGTTTCTAATTTTTTTGGCAAGAGCTTCTGTGGTTTTTTTTTTTTTTTGAAGTTGCATGTCATTCCGGTTACTAGAACAGCTTATTACAAAAAAAAAATGTTTCCTTCATATAAGTATTTGGCTTATAAAATTAAGATCTCATAAGAGGTCTTAAAACTTTATTTATATTGGATATTTTAAGTTTAGGCTGGCAGAAATGATAAACTTAGCTTTATGGGGTGCAGAATTATTCAAATTATCGTCAACAAATAAGAAATTATGTATATTAATATTTTCAAAATGTATTGCAATTATTTATAATTTTACACTTGATTAAAGTTGAACTTAATGAGAACTATAAATTTGAATTAAACTATTTTTGTGCTAATAAATATTTTCAAAAATAGAAAAGTGCATTAAAACATATAATTTTTTATGATTATTTTTATAATATTTGAGGAATTTCCACTCTGACCTAGGCATCTATTGTGTCTCCTTGGACTTAGAGTACTTCTTTTATAAAAACACATTTGTATTTTCTTTACAAAAGCAAACTTTATAAAACAATAATTTAATTTCATTTAATATAATTAATTTACTATATTGTGTTATACATTTTGCTATTGACTTTTTTAGAAACTATGTGGGAAAATCAGTTTTCAAGATAAAAGAGTTCTTTTTGTTTAATTTTAATATTAATATTATATTGCTTGGTAATCAGAAAAAGTCGCTAGTGTCATTGGTAAAAGTTGCCATATAATTTTACAATTAAATTAACAAACTTTGTTTAATAAAAGAGAATTAAAATCAACAAAATATATAATCAACTGAATAAAATCTCATATTTGTGTTCCCCAAGCAATGAAAGCATTTCCAATTTCAGGATGAATATTCAGAAGCATTGATAACCATAAACTCAAATACTTACTCGTTTCGGAATCCGATGCCAAACGAAAAGAACTGAAAACCAATTTAAATTATTTTTACCATAAAAGCGTAAAATGAGCCCGCAAGTAAATTTTAGAACAAAATACATGGGGTAGAGGAACGTGGAGGAAAAAGCGAGAGAACTCAATGGCTTGAATTTTATGACCTTCTGTTTTCGGTTATTAGTTTTGGTGTTGCGATTGCATTTGCTCCATGTTTTGCTCAATATTATTGCTATTGTTTCAAATATTTTTGTTTTGACTTTATTTATGCTAAAGTATATCCTCCGCCATTATAACCGCTCCAATACAAATTACTTTAACACCACAAAAAGGAAAGCGTCCTGTAAAATCATAGCATCAACGAAAAACTTTTTTGGGGGTGAGCTCTAAAGTGTTGGGAAGAAATCAACAGCAGAAACAGTTACAGAAATAGTATCATAATACCATACATAAAACAGACAACATCTCTGGGCACGTGTTCCCAAGCAGCTAAATACGTACATATCTACAAATATATATATATATATAAGTGTGTATATACAGATATATATATTGATAGAAAATTTGTTGAATTTTTGACTGAACAAACATTCCACGATGTCGCCTGGTACACCTTAACTGAAGAAAAGAACAACAACGGAAATAAAAAATACAGAACTACAAAAAATATATGGCACCCACTCAATGAAATTCATTATTATTTCCATTTTCGGTGCTTGTAAAAGTGTTCGTGACTTTCCGCGATGCGGAGTTTTTGGACTCCCGTCCCGTATTAACGCTTAATGTGCTACAGAATTTAGTGCGGGTACATTAACTTCTCAAACAAAAGCCATAACGGATAAGCGATTTAATGCAAACAGTTTCTATTGAAAACTTTGACAAATGTATTAAAATCGATTGCATACTGTAATGTCTACTTATCGATATATGTACCTTACTGAAGCATAGTAATTAGAGAAACCCTCTATTAGAAATATTTCCATTTTATTCACAAATTTATCATATGTGCATGGATGGGCTATAAATATTTATTTAATATAAAAAAACCCCTGCTGTAGGAAAATGTAGGAAAATTTTGTCATACCAAAATATCAATTTTTATCAGATACTTTTCCAAATCTAATGACATTTCTACTACCATAAATGAAAAATAGTTAACATTTTTAAGTGAAAGGTCTTACAGAATTTTCTAAGTAACATATAAATACAATTTTCGTATATCGTGTATTTCATAAAAAGCAGCACTCGAACAAAAATAAATTGATAAATTCTACAAAGACCCCATCCTAAAATGAATTATAACTTGTACACTAATATTAAACCCGGTCTCACACACATAGTTTTAGCAAAATGATTATTATATATAAAATATTTCCTACAGATCATACAAATTGAGTACAAAATCTTATTTCAGATCAAAATCCCTGCATTTTTTGCATTGGTGGTATGTCTAGATGCGGACGACAGCTCATGAAAGAAGTAGGTCTTAACATAAACGTCATACAATTTATGCGAAATGTTACTAGTTTAATAAATTTAAATATATAAAAAAATCTGTAAATAAACAAATAAGTGTTAAACCCATCGAAATGGATTGATCCCACAGTTAATTGCCTTATACGTGCACAAGAATAACATAATAGTTGCTTCGCAGCGAGAGCTCCGCTTAAAGATCTAGTAAGAGTATCAATAACATAATACGAAAAGAATACTGATTTTAGTTTAGTAACGTGGAATAAACTACTAATACACAATTAGAAAAAATTGCAGAAAATATAGACGCGAGAATATCACAGCCGCTCTTTAAAAGACAATATGGAGTGAATTTGGAAAGAAACATTAAGGCTAGTGTTCAGACACAAAATCTTTTAAAGAAACTAGCTCTTAGAACGCGAGATTCAGCTAAAAAAATTGAGGCTAAAAGACGAATAAATTAAATTGAGAAAAAGAAACTCTTCTGTTCTAGACGAAATAAATTACATGTGATTAAAAAATCTTCCGTTGTCAGCAAAAACAAAAATCGAAGACAGAATTAATACAGCATCTTTTCAAGATGTCATTCCATAAATCTAAAAATTTGCAGTTATAGTATTCCATCTTAAACCTTGGAAATACGTTCCTAAAAAAAAGGAGAGTTATGTTTGCTGACTGCTTTAGGTAAAATAGCTAAAAAAAATAGTGTTGGTATTACTTAAAAGTAATATTATGCCAAAAAATATCATTCTCAAAACACAAATCGGATTGCAAAGAAACCGTACCAATAATCTCTAGCTAGCAAGAATTTCTCAAATTATAAGAAAAGTTTTCAGTAAACATATTTAGATACTCCTAATAACTGTTATTGTTATATATCATTATGTTATATATCATTATCTAGAAACATAACAGAAGTGCAAGTGTAATACTTAAACAAAATAGTTATAAAATATCTAAGGCATTACCACAGATTCTACCAGTTTTACGATACCTCCACACTTAATTGTTATACCTTTAAGTTTTGGTATAATATAACCTTTCAAGTTTATATAGGGTCCTCTGTCAGCTGAGAATTCTCAATTATTGTTATTGTTTTTCAATATTATATATCAGACCCATTATCTTTAAATCTATTCACATAAATGATCCCTTCTCCGCAAGTTAAAGTCAAGCAAATTTGAATTATCAATAACTGTTCTATGCTCATCTTAAAAATCTTTCTAAGTACTACTCTAGTAACGCTGCGACCACGTTAAAGTTTCCACACCTCTTTCATCAATCTTGTTTAATAGTGTTAATAGTGTTCTTCATATTTTATATTTCATTCACAATAATACTTTTGAATACATCATATTCGAAAATACATTACGCGTGTATCTTCACAAGGTATTGTCATTCGTCCAGAGAAACCTCACCTGGAGTCATAATCTGCTTCCCAGTTTTATATACGATTTATCGCAATATCTTTCATTCTAGTTTGATAAGTTGCATTCAGCCGTTTGCATCACCTTTTCCTATAATCGCAGTTTACATAGTTCCTGGTTATAGAGTCAATAAATGACTCTATTAACCATGGACCACAGGTTGGAAACACTGCGTTAAACTAACTCGAACTTTAGCAATGACAAGTTCAAAATGTTTTCAAATTATATAATTGTATGCTAAATCATTGATATTCTTCATCAGTTTAAGCACGATTGATTCTTCAAAACCGTGTTGGAAAT